AATTTGTCAAATAATAAATACTTTTTATAATATATCTGTACTTTGTAGATACTTTGTAGATTTTGTGAGTAAAAATCTCAATAAACAGATTTAAGTAATTAAAATTAATTATAAACTCAAATGTCCAGAGCATTTTTATTTTCATATTTAGCCGCCGATCATTTTTTAATCTAAGTCCCAAACAACTATTACATATATGGGTACTAATCACTTACGCATTATTTATCTATTTCTCACTATTTATAATAGATTATTGATACTATTTTCTTTCGAAAACATTTACATATTGACACATGAGAAGTATATAGTAAAAACTCATAAATAAATCGAGATGAGACGAGAGTCTCGATGCTTTGTTCCGATCTCGTCTCGTCGTCACAAATGTAGTCTCGATCTCGGTCTTGTCTCGTCTTATCTCGTGAGACGAGATGAGAGTCTCGATTTTCGAAAGTCTCGGTGAAACACTAGCGCGGAGAGCTCACGCACACTACCTAGATAACATTTTGCAAGCAAAATTCTATCGTAGTAAGTCGTCATATAAACAGCATATAACCAGTAACTCTAGACAAAATTTGGTACGTGAATAGTTAGTCATCTCACACAAGAACGACTAAGTCATCTTCAGTATGTAATACACCGTCAAATTAAAAGTAAATAATACAATACGTCAGCAATTTGCACGTTATTTGTTGGTATATTGAATAGATATACAATAGTTTTTTGTGCGCAATATGCACGCGTGTGTGAGATAAAATATGTTTGCAAGCAAAATTCAAGCGAATCACATACAAGAGGGCGCGCAAACCTTACACGCAAGAAATGTTATCTGAACAGTCGCGTGGTACACTGACATGCTTTCGGCTAAAAATCGGCGCTAAATGGTGTAATTTATTCACTAATTACTCTATTATTATATGTAATAAGAAAAAATAGTTCACTATTCGACTCAGTTTTACTCCTTCTAACTGTCTACGAAAGATATTACACTAATTGTCGAACACTTTGTATATAAGTATGCTTTTAAGTAATAAGCGATAAGTAAACAAAAAAATAATAAGTACCTAAGAAAATGTTCTTTTTGATTATAACACAATTTAATTCACAGAACAGTGAAAATTCAGAAAAAAATATTAGATAGCATACAAATGTTTCCACGTACATTTTCTTGAAAATATTGCGCAGTGATAAGAATTAAGGAATTGTCACAACATAGTAAAGTTTATTGTGCAAATACATTTTTTATTATAAAATTTTGTTATACATACTTTTGTTTGAACATATTAAATAAAAAAACAAAATACATTCTAAATAACATAATAAAATTTAATTCAATTATTGGTTATCAGGTTTTAAATGCATAAAAATATTATTACGAGTATCATATATCATTTTATCATACATAATACTGTTTTATATAAATTGCTTCTGTTTTATACATTTCATAGTTTTATATATTCAGATAATAATTTTTGCCTGCACGGTTTGCGCGCGTTAAATATGTAAATCTTATATATGATTTGTCTAAATTTTGTTTGTGAACATATTTCATCGCGCACACAAGTGCTTATTGCGCACAAGAATCTATCGAATACCCATCCAATATACCAACAAATAACGAGCAATTTGCTATCATATTGTAAGTTATTTACTCTTAATTTGAAAGTGTATTACATACTTAGGATGAATAAGTCGTTCTTATGTGTGATGACAATATATTCACGTACAAAGTTCTGTCTAGATTTACTGGTTATATGCTGTTCATATAACGATGCACTGGAATACGATGGCACTCGCAAAATGTTATTTGAATACCCACAGAATGTGTTTTTTTGTATAACGTGTGTTTTATATATTCAGCTGTGAGCAATTAACCTTAAATGTATACTTAGTCGCGCAGTTGTGTAAAATGAAATACAGTGTAAAAGTAGCAATACGTGTATCACACATTTGATTTCATTTTATGATCACTTTGCGAATTATTAAATGTATTAAAGTCTGTAAATTCTACATTTTAAACATAATTAATACATACTTTTTTGTGTCATAAAATAAATTAAATCTTGTTATACAAGAATAACGTTGATATTAACAGCAATACATAGATACCATTTTCTATTTAAATTGAAACGCATATGTCTATAAAAAAAATGGCTAAAATCATCATGTGATTAATAGTGTAGTACATATTCATGTACAACCCGAATAAGTAGTTTCTTGCTTCGTATAATCCTTCGACGCTTCACCATTTTCTTCATAATGACGTCGTGTATAAATAATGGCTGCAAAAATTACAACTTATATTAATGATAATAAATTACAACTTCTATTAATGATTTTGTATACTTTTGCAGAAATCTAATAATGTTGAAGAATACAGTTTTTTAATACAAAAAACAAGAATTACTACAAAAGAAAACAAAATAAAACTGTATAAGTACGTGTAAACTATAAAAAAGTGATTTAAACACATAACAAGTACTGAACAAATAAAACAATTTGTAGTTTCGAAACTCAGATTTGTAAAATAATTTTTAACTTTTATTTAAAAACTATATTCTATTTATAAAACCTCCTCTCACCGTTTCTAGATTATATCTGTTGATAAAATTTGTAACCATCACTAGTACAGTCTTCGTAATCTAAAATCACCATGGAATAATAATATTGAATATAATACTTTCTAAATCACTCACTATTATATATGTCATTCTTTTATTGTGCTAAACTACAACTATATAAATAACTAATATACTTTTTTTACGTACATGCTTTAATGTACGTATTCAAAAAAAAGAAGATTGTTTTACAGTTATAGCTATATTAAACATTTAAGTTCACATAACGTACCGTTTCGAGATCTTCATTTGAATATATGTGGTTAATACTAAAATTCA